TATATATATATATAAACTTGATGAGTATTATTTGGAGCCAAAACGAGCCGAACACGAACGAACACATCTTTGTTCGTGTTAGGCTCGTTAACTTATCGAACGAAATTAACGAGCCGAACACGAGCTGTTCGCGAACAACGAGCCATTTTGACAGCCCTAATTGTATCTGTAGATTTTAATCAATATTGATATGATTCACTAGGTTTTATTTGAATTGTTTGATGAAGTTTAAATATTATTAAATTTCTATTTTAATATTTATTCTAACAATTAATTTGATATTTTCATTTTATTTGTTTGTCCACTATATGAAAGGTTTTTTTATGTCATTAAATATAGAACAATTAATACATAAATATAAAATAAGTTATAGAAAAAATGATTGAACTGTTATTTGATGAAAATTTTATAGAGTTCGTTCTTAACGAACTTCTTGTTGAACAACAACGAACATGTTCATAAGTATAAATGAATAAGTTGGTAACTCGTTAGGTTTGTTCATTTATGTGATGAGCATTTAAAATTTTATTCAAACTTGTTCAATGTCGTAAATGAAAAAAATATGAATGACCTTTATATGAACATGCATCGAGCGCAGTAGTTCACCTACAATCTTAGTTATAGTTGTGAATGTTGTTTTCTATCTTTTTATGTTTTTTATTTTTGCATGTTTGTCTATATAGAGATGGTCTTCTCAGTTAAGAAGAGAAGAAATAGCAAAATTTTCCCTACTCTAAGAAGAACGGATACATTATTCTATGATACACCCTAGATAATATATTTTGCTCTTTAAATATAGAAAATCTTCCTATTTGGCATAGTACTAAACTAAAAAGATTTTTTTCTATCTACATATTTTACTCTTTGAATCAAAATGCTGGCCTGTTAAAGAGAAGCATAAGACTAAGTTAATTGTTGCTGCGATGAGAATGCTTGGGTGGATGATTGACTTAACACTTAGAGACAAAATGCGAAATGAATGTATCTGTGAAAAGGTTGGCGTAGCTCCAGTGGAGACAAGATTAGAGAGTCATTTTTGATGGTTTGGTCACATTAAACGTCGACTATCTGATGATCCAGTTATAAGAGTAGATGTTTTAGATTCAAATTATGTTAAGAAACGTAAAGGTAGACCTAAAAAGACTTGGACATATTGTATAAAAAATGATCTTAATTTATTAAAATTAAATAAAAAAATGACACTCAATATGACAAATTGAGGAAAATGATTCATGTAGCAGACCCCAATTAGTGGGATAAAAACTTGTTGTTGTTTTACATAGCTTTGAGTTTTTTGTTAGCTACTAGTGTGATCTATTTTGGAAGATTGGTCTCATTTAGGTGGTGGATTTTAGAACTCTTCAGATTCATGTATACAATTTTTCTGGAATTTAAGGACTTCATGGTGCTTCCGCATCAACCATGGATAAGTAATTATTGAAGGAAGATGTCTTAATGAAAAAAAATGTCGTAACGTCGGCATAGTCCTTTTATGTATGAACTGGAGCTAATATTTTATGATTTTAATATGTTATTCTGCCAGTGTTTTTAACTTGTCAACATGTTAATTTGGTGTAACGTGGCAACATTGGTGTGTTTTTTTTTTAATTGCTTGCATCTAATTGATTGGATTGTAATGAAAATTTTAAAATTGTTCGTATTTGCTGTACATTTGGAGAGAATGTTGCATGGTTCAACGTTGACTACTATTTACATGTCAATTATACCTATAAAATCCACTCAAATAATCATTTGTGATTGGGAGATACCATAGGTATGAGTATATTATTTTGCTCTTTCTTTGGCAGCCACTGAAGTGACCATAATGTCCGAAATGACACTTTGTATGCCATGTTGTTGGCCTTTGGATATATATATATATATATATATATATATTATTTAAAGGAATGGTCGGACGCTATTAGAGGAGCCCCAGCCATCCCCAAGTGGGCTAAATATTCGAGTACGACACCCTACACACGGGGGATTTGAACCTATGTCCTGAGGGGACTTACGATCTTCTAAGAGGCTGCTCTACCAACAGGCCACGGAACTCGCGCGCACGCGCGCGCGCACACACACACACATAGATATAGATATAGATAGACAGACAAACATACATACATATAATAGCATTTATAAATTGATTGCTATGCTTAACGTGCCATTTCTGCATATTGAGATTTCTCTGTTTTTGTTTTTTTAAATAAGGAACTTGATCAATATTTAGTGCAATTATTATTTTAATTTTAACTTTGGAGTTCTAAGCGTTGTCAAACAATAAGTAGTGGTATGCTGCTTCTAATGTTTATCCTACTTAGGTGGATGGGTCTAGTGCTAAATCAAGTGTCTCTAAAATCCACCATTTGTATTATAGTATTGAAATGTCGCTTTCCTATACTGCATTTTAATTGCAATGAATTGTGATATTGTTTTAACCATCTGCTTCTTTGTCCAGCAAATCATCTGTTATACTTGGATTGGCTTTGACTTTCCCACTTATGGTGGCATGCCTTTCTGTTGCAATTCCAATATGGATTCGTAATGGCTACCGCTTTTGGATTCCCCAAAAAGAGTACGAAAACTCTGGAAATAACCATCAAAGTCCAAAAAAAGAGGTCCGCACTTTCACATAGCATTGATTTGTGGTTGAGTATTCCCTGTGATTGAACCTTTAACTTTTTTTCCTGTGTAAAATTCATCAGCAATCCATTATTATGCTTTTAATTTATTCTTTGGTTAGAGCACACATGCAAACTTATTTCCGGTGAATAATGATTGAAACCGATCGTATGATATAATTTTCTTTAAGCAATATATATATATATATATATATATATATATATATGTGTTATATGGATGCATGCGATGTTGTTTTTCAACATTATTCATGAACTTTCTATTCCAACAGTAGTCATGAACTTTGTATTCCAACTGCAGGAATGACTACATATTCTCTAGTTTGGTCGTTATTGATCCGTTTGTCAACCAAAAAAATTTTGTGCATCCCTTGTTTGTCCTTTTCTGTATAATTTGTAAGCATTTGTGGATTTCAATTTTTTTTTGGTCCTCTGTTTTGAAGTTTTATCGTTTATATGGTAGGATTCTTGCTTCGCCTATCTTCAAGTTTTTAAAAAATAGTCAAGCTTAGATCGAATGAAAATTTTCGAACCTTTGATATTGGGTTGTATGAGTGCATTTGCTTAGAAATTGAAACTAGCTAGTTGGACAAGCTTAACATTTTTTCCTAACATAGGCTGTTTTCTATACTACATACTGTTGGTCAACTTTTTTTTTATTTTGAAAATAATTTTTGGTAAATTTAATTTAATATAAGAGGGATATATATATTTTTATTTTGAAAATAGTTGTGTTTTAATTTTTAGAAAATGTGACCGAATTGATCTTATTAGTCTAATAGTTTGCATAATCGTGTCTGATACCGCAAATATTACATATTTTCCGAAAGATAAGTGCATATCTCGACGATGAACCCAATCCTGCAAACTAATAGATTTGTGACATCCGTTTGGCTTGTGAACCTTTTATGTGTGACCAACAAGTTCTCCTACTTAATATAAAGAGTAGGTAGGGTTTATTTTATCTAGATTTCAAGTTCCCTATAGAGACGAGCACTTATAGTTAATTACATCTCAAATGACCAATGTCACTTAAGAAAACTCTTGATAATGGTCAGAGATTCTAGTCTTCAAGAATTCAAAGTTTAGGTTTTCATGGTAAGACGTGGAAAAACAAGTGAGAGTGACTCAAGTAAGAATAATTATTTTCAGGAGTCGAAGGGGAGTAAACGGTAGAGGAAGTCGCAGATCCTGAGGACAACCCTCGGTGACTTCCCAGACTATTCTATTGTGTGGCTACGTTTTGCAGACGATATTATTTGAGTGTTCAATTTTGCCAATTTTATTATTTGGGACTTGTATTTGCGTAATATCCGATCACGCCAATATCCTGCAGAAATAGGTGGGTTTACGTCGTACCGAACGACAACATTGGAACCTAGGGTGAGTTAGGACTTGCGCTGCACAATATGGTTGCACAAGAGCCTAAAAAGGGTTTGAGGATTTAGGTCACGTTGGGCGGGCGAGCTACCTCAAAATCTTATGGGTTGTTATTTAGATTAATGAAAGAGATTGTTGAATACGATCCTCTTGTTGCTCGATCCAAGCTCTTTGCTGTGCTGCCAACGAAGTCGACTCCGAGCCTTGTGCCGTAGTAGTAGCTCCAGGGTTCAAGGGTTTGAGGTTTTATGTTTCACAGTTTTTGGTGTCAAAGTTTGGTTTTGTTGTTTTTGTTCAGATGTCATATTTGGGGGAGTTTTAATTTAATTAGAGCGACACCGATTTGATTCCACGGTTTCCTTATTCCGACACCACTATTTTCACTTGAATTTACTTAGTCTAAATGAGTTGTTAATCCCATTTAGATTGGAGAATTTCTGGTAGCAACTATAGGTTGCCTCATCCGAAAGATTTTCATAAATCTAAAATGGATGAATTAAGGATGTTCACTAAGTTCAAAAGTGTATAAATTTTTAAAAATACATTTTTTTTTGTGTTTTATATGTAATATAAAACATGCATAATAAAATAAAGTGACAAATAAGCAGTAAAAAACATGCATAATAAAGTACAGTGACAATAAAACAGTAAAATCACTATAAATAAACTGTAAATGCGTACCGGACGTGTCTGCTGTTGCTGCGATGTTAGTATTATATGTGAAAACAAGCAGATGTAACTAATGATTTAATAAGCATATTAAATATGAATTTAAGTATGTAAAAGAACAGATAACACATGAAAGCTCGAAAAAGGACCTATAAAAATTTAAATCATGGTGGGCTCAGAGCTGGGCTGTGTACTTTATATTTCAACTTTGGATAGATGCTACAAACCCAAACTATCGAAGGAGGGCAACTCCTAACCATGATCAAAATAATTAACCAGTGGACCTTGGTAGAATTTTGTCGAAGCTTTATTTGGTTTTTTATGCATGTAGAGTTTATTCAGTAGACAAAAGTAATGTTGTTGCAAATAGAGATTTTTTTTTTTTAAACATATGTGGAAAAAACATATGTGGAAATGCATGTAAGGAGTTTAGTATCTGTGTGAGTGTGAACAAATGAAATAATCCACCAGTTGCTTGCTTTAATCGGGCTAGAATCACCTAGCTACCTAAGAGAGTAGCGACAATTTCGCACCCAAAATTGGTGAATAGTCTCATTGATTCTGCTCTCCCCTTTTAGATAGTCATCGAAAGAGATGCTATTATATCATTCATCCCTAGTACACATAAGTATTTTCATCATCGCCTTAAAAAGAAATAAAACGGGGGAGGAAGAGAGGAGATTGACCCTACTCCCAAAAATCGGCAGGAAAGAAGAATGGAACAACGAGTGGGTCAGCTCAAAATGATGTTTAAATCCTCATAAGATCTCGATCAATAGAAACCCAAAATTATAGGCAAATGTGCCCCAGAACCACCTCTAAACCATAAGCACGAGACAAAACTGCCCCTACAACACTTAACGACTCCAAACAGCAATTAACAGCTCCTAACAACAATTATGAAACATCCTACAACTTCAAACAACATTTAGCAACTCCAAGATGCTATTTAAGTGTCTTAAACAGCGATTATATGAACCAAAACGACATTATAAAATATTCTACAACAATTAACAGCTCCAAACAACAGCTTACAACATTAAACATCATTTTTCCAGCTCTCACAGCACTCCAAACAGCTCCTACAACTATCCTACAGCTCTCCCAGCACTCCAAACAGCTCTCACCACACTTCGGGTCATAGAGGAGCGGGGGGCGAATTTTTGTGGACAGCAGGGAAGAGGAGTTAATAATCTCAGGCCGAGGGAGCTCGCTATCTATAGAGCTCAAATTTCAGAGTATCCGTTACAGGGTATTAGACACGCAATTTATTAATTTCCATGTGGGGCAGATGTTTATTTGGCAAATAATAATCTTCAAATTGATTTCAATTAATGTCAAATTAAATGATTTATTTCAATTTCAAAATTTGAAATTTGAAATCATGTGAGCTGGGTGATTAGCCCACTTTAAGCCCAAATCAAACCTAAATTGAACCTGGGTTGAGTTTGGACCCACACCCTCTTATTAAACATTCCTGTGCATTAATTTGCGTGTCGTTTGCGCATGCGCGAAACTTTATCATAATGGGTGTTTTTCCTAGCTAAAGTCAATGTTCCAGACGTGCCCGCGTGGTCCGTTTCGCTATATGGGGTCAGCACGATCAGGTCAAAAATTCGTTAAATTTAATTCTCTTTGAATATTGAGTCGTGACAGGTCATTTTGAAAATTGGCATTGGTGGTACGATGTATGTAAGCCTTAACGATGTGACTTTTGATGTTTATGTGCGTCGAATGTGTGAAAGTTGAAATGAGTATTTCTAAGGCCTCATGATTTTATATGAACCCATTTTTGAGCCCTCTACATGGTTGTCCTTAGCCCTTGTAACTAAGAGTTGAGTGCTTGAGACTACTCATGCGAGGTCTTCATAATAAAATGGGTCAAGAAGTGGTTCGAAGTTTTATGTGAGGTGGGCTCCGCTGCTAATCCGCAAGAACGATCAATAGGGAACTCCTAAAGTTAGATTCTAGGTTCTAAAGGAAGAAACGAATATCTCACTGAAAATGAGGTCAACAAGTTAAAAAAAGTTGACCGACAAATTCTGGCGACTCCGTCGGGGATTAGATTCTATCCATTTTGATCAAGAGGTTTTGTCTTCATACATCGATAGTGTGTCCATGTCCCTTGTGGACCAGACTGCTGTTTTTTCGTTCACATACCAAGCTCATTTCTTTCTTGAGCCAATATCGACTACTCTTCTTGGATTCCAGGGCCTTCTGCTTAACTATCTTTAAGCAGAGAGGTTTAGGAATCCCTAGAGTTTAGTGGGGTAGACCCCCAATAGGTGTGGTAGGTTAGGGTCAGAGTGAGTCCAATGTGGAATGGATCATTTCCAATTTTGGATTGGGTCCTATACCTCATGATCACTTCATCTCTCTTCCGAGTTCGTCTTGTTCTTTTCACAAGTCACCTCAAATTTTACCTCTGAAACTTTTCTCGACAATGTTAAAACTTCAAGACCTAATCCCTAGACAAAACAATCATTGTTAAGGAATCAGACAAAATTTTGAACAAAAGACACGACGAAGCAACAACAAATTTAAATTTAAGTCAAAATCACTTGGATAAGTTTCGAAAGAAACGTCTAGTTCATGAGACAATTTTGTTAGCTTTTGTGCTTACATCTAAGTTATTTCACATCTAAATTTAAGTCAAAATCACTCGGATAAGTCTCATATTAATCCTCTTATTAGTGTTAATCAGTTCTGTCGCACATCTAAGTTCTTATTTTATGCAAAAAAAAGGTAAGCTTCTGTACGTTTTTACACGATTTAAATTTTTTATGTTTAACTTATCCTATGGATTGATTGTTTTATTCGGATATGTTTCCCTCTTTTTTTTTTTCTCGTTTCCCTAGCTAGTAATAAATAAATTACTATTAGGACGGTTTACCTGTTGATTTGCATGAAAATATGACACTCAATAGAATGCAATGAATAAAAAGGATTCATGTAGCCGACCCCACTTAGTGGGGGTAAAGGCTTGTTGTTACTGTTGTTGTACTTGTTGATTTGCATGCATGTATCTCAGATTTCGTGGATACTCTGCATATAAGCTCGTATAAATATTTTGTTTTAGAAAATTCTCTGTGCTGGTGTGATCTCATCAGCTTGAGTGTGTAGTTTCTTGCTCCTTGGTGCGGTTTGGGAGTCTTTTTAACCCCCTATAAAATGCAGCGATACTCCTTTTTTTTTTTTTTTTAAAGAACGTTATCTGCTGAAGCACAATTAGTCCCTTACACATTAATGTTCTTATTCGAACTCATCAACTCTAAGATGGGGCCGAAGCACTAGCTATTAGGTCATGGGCGAAGGACTACGTAGCAGCACTCAATTGCTAATCATCAGGCTTACTACTTGCTGATGTGGATTGAAGTTTTATTAGGATTTCGCTATGCGTAGCTTATTTGATGTGCATTTATATATATATTTTTTATTTTTGTGTAACTTGCTTTTATTACATTATTTGAATTGTAAATTGTAATATTGTTTAAGTTTTTGCAGGGTTTTTGTTCGTCTATGTGCAATTCTATCTTGTTTCTATACTAAAAATCTCTTTATTTATGTATTTTTAGGGCATTATTCTTTTTATCAGCACTATTATGTTTGCTGGCTCTGTTTTTGCATTGGGTGCTATTGTTTCTGCAAAACCGTTAGATGACTTGGGCTACAAGGGTTGGAGTGGAGATCACAGAAGTTTTTATTCTCCCTATGCTTCATCTGTGTATCTTGGCTGGGCAATTGCTTCTTCAATGGCATTGTTAATAACTGCAGTTTTGCCTATTGTTTCGTGGTTTGCAACTTATAGATTTTCACTCTCTTCAGCTCTCTGTGTTGGTATTTTTGCACGTAAGTTGTGTTATTTTGACTTTTCAAATATTAGTCGTCAGGTTCTAGTATGCTATGCCTTTTTTCCTTTTTAAAAGCGTTCTTCAGAGCTGTCTATTGGTCAAACTCCTGTAAATGATGTCTCATTATTGTTAAGATAAGCCCTTTGTAGCTAATTATTATACTTTTTTTATTATGCTTCAGTCGTTCTTGTAGCATTTTGTGGTGCATCATATTTAGAGGTGGTGAAATCTAGGGAGTATAACGAACCCTTGAAGTCTGATTTTCTTGCTGCTTTGCTTCCTTTGGCTTGCATTCCGGCAATATTCTCACTTATAATCGGCTTATATAAATGGTAAGTCGAATAACAAGGTGGGATTTTTAGTTTAAGTTTGTTTTTTACTCGGCAATTTGTGTGTTGCAAAAATGTTTTCAGGAAAGATGATGATTGGAAGCTGTCCACTGGCGTATATTTATTCCTTGCCATTGGATTTTCACTTCTGCTTGGTGCCATGTCAGCTGTTATAACCGTCATCAGGCCTTGGACGGTTGGTTTTTTTAAACCCAGAATCCAAAGCATTTGAATTCTGTAAAGTAATTGTGCTTGCCTTTGTGATTTTGCAGGTTGGGGTTGCATTCCTTTTGGTCGTACTTCTTGTCGTGCTTGCATTAGCTGTTGTTCATTATTGGGCTTCAAACAATTTCTATTTGACCAGGATCCAAATGTTTTTCGTTTGTTTTCTTTCTTTTCTGCTGGCTTTAGCTGCTTTTTGGGTTGGATTTTTTGAAGGTGACTTCAAAACTTGTGTTCTTTCCATGTTAACTGATGATTTATAACCAAAAGGATCATTCGGCTAAAGCATACTTTTTTTTTATATATAGGTAAACCGTTCATAGGAGCATCAGTTGGTTACTTTTCATTTTTGTTTCTCCTTGCCGGAAGGGCATTGACAGTAAGTTGATCAAAATGATTTGGAATGTTCATTGTATTGTTTCTTTCCTTGTAACTGTAAGTATTCTTTTATTTGGGTATAAACTTTATTTCTTTTTCTCAGGTGCTACTTTCACCTCCAATTGTCGTCTATTCTCCGCGAGTATTGCCAGTATACGTTTATGATGCTCATACTGATTGTGCAAAAAATGTCAGGTTCGATTTGATTTTAGAATATTGTGGCTAATCATAAATCTATAGATTTTTCCTAGCAAATAAATGTTTAATCTTATATATTTTTGTTACTTGTATTTGTGAAATTTCTATAAATATTAACTGCTTGGTAATTTGGCAGCCATGCATTTCTTGTGCTGTATGGTGTTGCTCTTGCAACTGAAGGATGGGGCGTTGTAGCTAGTTTGGAAATATACCCACCTTATGCTGGTGCTGCGGTTTCTGCCATTACCCTTGTTGTAGCTTTTGGATTTGCTGTATCTCGTCCTTGCCTTACACTTAAGGTTTATTCTTCTTACTGTTTTAATTTCTTCCTGTGTTGGTTCATGCTTCATGATTTTTTTGCATTCTTTTGGAATCTTGTATTCCTATAAAGCTTTTGCCTTATTAGCTCCTGTCTTCTAAAATTTGCATGCTGTTAGATGATGGAAGATGCTGTGCTTTTTCTTAGCAAGGAAACTATTGTACAGGCGATCACACGCTCAGCAACAAAGGTTGGTTTTGAAATTTTGAAAAAAAGGAAATAAAAATTTTACAACTTTTTACATACATTTGAATAGTGTGTCTTTCTGAGCTTTTTCTTTCCATGAGCATGGCTTAAATTATATGAAAGAACTTTTGGGTTACAGATTGGTTTATTACATATCTGGATGTTTTTTTTTTGTAGTCTTCATATGTTGATTTTTCTGTAATTACAAGAATGGGGTCAACTGAACGTTTGAAGACGTTAAAATTAGTTTTTTTCTCCATTATTTATTTGTTTGTTAAGTATAACTGTATAACATTTTCTCACTTTTGGTTGGTGTTTTGTTTTTTTTGATAAGTTCATTATGGCAATTTATATTCTTCTTAGCTTGATTCGTCTCATATCCTCAACGACTCTTTTTGTTGTTAACCACATTCATATTTTGTATTCTTCTTTTTTTCTGTACTGCTTGAACCCATAGTGAGTAAGAGATTGTTTATTTGCATTCGCAGTGAGTATTTGTTTCAGTTTTGTTCAATGTAATTCTGTTTGTTGCACTTCAAGACAGTAGCGATGGAACTGTATTTGGCAACTCAAGAATAAAATCAGAAGTTCTGATAGACTTGTTTCTTTTTTATGCAATTCTGTATTCTAAGTTCTCTTATTTTTGTAGTCTTGTGGTTTTGCCTGTAAAAAAATGGGCCCTACTTTTCTAATGAGGGCTCAGTTTGATCCGTGCAATGTTTCTGTGGATTTTCATTAGAATTTAGAAGCATTTTTAGTTAATTTCTGGGTGGGGTTTTGATATCAATGCATTTTGTATACAAGTTGCTAAAATTCTGGTCCTCTATCCATTGATTATGAGTCTGAATTTTTTGCTATTTTTAATTTTGATGTGAATTGTCTAATTTCTATACCATGGCAGTGTCTTGGTGCAGTATATTTTGCTACCTTGTGAAAACCTCAAAAGATCATTTGTAGTTTTCATTTTGTCTGGTTGTATTTGGCGTTCCACTTGAACTTTTGGAATATGATTTTTTTTAATTTGTAAGTGAAATTTGTCCTTTTATTTTGCATTTTCATCAGATAGTGGAATGATATTAGCATTCAGAGCAATTAGGCGGGTTATTTTTTTAATTTTGCATGATGATGTTAGTAATATAGGATGACCTATGCTTTTTCTTGTTTGATTAGTGTATCTTAAGAATTTGTCAAAGTAGCTTTGAAAATTATGTATTGTGAATCTAACTTTTGTTAATCCTTTCAATGTAGATTAAATTGAATTTTTTTTTGCTTCAGGCATTGTAGGCATTGTATAACTTATATTGGTTTTACCTATCCTTGTCATGCATCACCTAATACTAATTTTTTCATGCTTTTTTGGGCGAATAGACTAGGAACGCTCTATCTGGTACTTACTCAGCCCCACAAAGATCTGCTAGTTCTGCTGCTCTTTTAATAGGGGACCCCACCATTACCCGGGACAGGGCAGGCAATTTTATGCTTCCGAGAGCTGATGTAACAAAACTAAGGGATCGCCTGAGAAATGAAGAAATTACTGCTGGCTCATTCTTTCACAGATTGAAATCTGGTTTGATTTATTGCCGTCGGTCTCCTATAGATGTAGACTACCGGAGGACAATGTGTGCTCATGCCCGTATTCTGGCATTAGAAGAGGCTATTGACACGGAATGGGTGTACATGTGGGACAAATTTGGTGGTTATTTACTTCTTTTGCTTGGTTTGACTGCTAAAGCTGAACGTGTGCAGGTGATCTTGAGCTTTTGTTTATGAATATTTCATATTTTATTCAATTGTTTGTTATAATTTTCTAATTTTCTCATGCCATTTTTATAGGATGAGGTCCGCCTTAGACTTTTCTTGGATAGTATTGGTTTTTCAGATTTAAGTGCCAAGAAGATCAAGCAGTGGCTGCCAGAAGATCACAGGCAGTTTGAATTAATTCAAGAAAGGTTGGTTCTTGTGTGCGTGTGTTTTTCTAACGTAATTTCTTTCCCCAAAATAATGTTATTGTACCATGTCTTGTATAGTTATATAAGGGAAAAGGAAATGGAAGAGGAAATCTTAATGCAAAGACGAGAAGAAGAAGGGAAAGGAAAAGAAAGAAGAAAGGCACTCCTTGAAAAAGAGGAAAGGAAGTGGAAGGAAATTGAAACCTCTCTTATTTCTTCAATACCTAATGTTGGAAACCGTGATGCTGCAGCCATGGCTGCAGCTGTGCGAGCTGTGGGTGGTGATTCTGTATTGGATGACTCATTTGCTCGGGAACGCGTTGCAAATATTGCTCAACGCATTCGCATGGATCAACTGTCTCGAAGGGCTCTACAGGTACAGACAATTTAACTCATTCTTATTTCTAGTTTAACTTTTCAAGTTATCCACTTTATGCTTCATGTATTAAGGTCGTTTACTCTTTGAACGGCAATTCTCTATGGCCTGAAATAATGGTGAATATATGTTCTTGATTATTGTTACTTGCTTTTTCTCTTCTGGATTCCATTTTCTGACATGGGGGGTGAAATGGTCCTGATATTTCCCGGAAGAGGTTCTTTGTTATTCTTGGAAGTCAATTTCAACTGTTAACCTGTGGGCCATAATATCAACCTTTGAAGCTACTTTGTAACTTTATAACGGAGCATTTGTTGGAAATTTTGTATAATTTGTGAATCATTTGTTGTTTTTATATTCTTAATTTGTTTTTCTTGCAGACTGGCATATCAGGCACAGTGTGCATCCTTGATGATGAGCCCAGGGCTGTCGGTAAACATTGTGGACTGGTTGACCCTAGCCTCTGTCGTAGTCAGAAGATAAGCATCTCCATTTCTGCTATGATTCAACCAGATTCTGGCCCAGTTTGTTTAATAGGCACAGAATTTCAGAAGAATATTTGCTGGGAAATCCTTGTAGCTGGTTCTGAACAAGGTATTGAGGCCGGCCAAGTTGGATTGAGATTGGTTACTAAAGGTGATAGGTTGACCACTGTTGCTAAAGAGTGGAGCATTGGGGCTGCCAGCATTGCAGATGGGAGGTTTGTGATAGAAGAAATGAACTTTCTTTGCATATATTATTTCATTTGTTTTCAAGTATGATGGTTAAGCCTTTCTGGCTTTTTGCGAGTTTATAATAACTGATAATTTACATCCACAGGTGGCATGTTGTAACTGTAACTGTAGATGGTGATATTGGAGAGGCAGCATCTTACCTTGATGGTGGATTTGACGGTTATCAGAGCGGACTGCCTCTGCATGGGAGTGATGGCATATGGGAACAAGGAACAGAAATTTGGGTTGGTGCCCGACCACCAACAGATTTGGATGCTTTTGGAAGATCAGATAGCGAAGGTGTGGAATCCAAGATGCAAATAATGGATGCCTTTCTTTGGGGGAGGTGTCTATCCGAAGATGAGATTGGTACACTTCATGCAGCAACAAGCCCTGTTGGGTATGATTTGATTGATTTGCCTGAAGATGGCTGGCATTTGAGTGGCTCTCCTTCACGGGTAAAAAAAAAAAATGTCCGATTGTAATTGTTCCTTGTTCCTTCATTTGAAATTCTCCGTGTGGGTTCCTTGTTCCTTCATTTGGATTTTTTTGTGTTTTGTTCTTGTCATAATGGAACTATTAGGGATAGTTGAATTGAGATAGAGCCATTAAATTTTCTATTTATTTTCTCTTTCTCTCCCTCAAAAGCAAATGTGCATGCATGTTTTGTTAAATTCATATATGGGCATTCATGTAGGAAATGGAACCCTTTTAGCTTGAAGCATCAGTTGGACTTGCATTTCTTGTCTGTGTTATTTCTCTCCGTTGTTGTGTGTTCCATGTCAGTAAATGCCACATCACACAGTAAAGGCACATGATGGTCTTTTCAATACATGAATAATCCGACAATTCATGTTTGGATGGATTTACTACTGATAAGATAATATTGAACTGGCAAGGAAAAGAAATTGATGGATGCTTATATATTTCCTTTCATACTTTAATAATGACAAGCTTGTTATCTGGTTTTTTGTTGTTCTGCTTATCAGTTGAATGCTGTAATTGTGCGCTTTCACATGTTAATACTTTGTAATATTATTGTTAAAGGTTGAAATTTAGGAAATTTGGCTCAGTTCTCTAGTAGGGATATGTACATCATTTCACAATTTTAGCTATTCATTCTTTTTTGGAAACTCTTGTACTTTTTCTTGGAGAACTTTTTCATTTTATAACAAATCTGATGCAGTGCAAATCTTTTTAAAGCAGCTTAATCTTATGATTTCTTCTGATATGTAGTTCTGGTGATGTTGCTCATATCTTACATCATTGTTGTAGATTAATGAATGGGAGAGTGATGAAGCAGACGTAGAATTGTATGATAGAGATGAGGTTGAGTGGGATGGGCAATATTCCAGTGGGAGGAAAAGAAGGCCAGAACGTGAAGGAGTAGTAATTGATATGGATTATTACAATAGAAAATTAAGGAAAGCATGCTATGAAACTAATGAAGAAATAAACCAACGCATGTTGTCTGTTGAAATGGCTGTTAGAGAAGCTTTGCTTGCTAGCGGGAACACAAACTTTACGGATCAAGAATTTCCACCTAACGACAAATCTTTATATATAGATCCTGGAAATCCACCTATCAAGCTGCAAGTAAGGTTCACAATGCTGCACGTTGTCATAGTTTCATATTCTGTTTCTTATTAGCGTTTTATCACCAACCAGGTTGTTAGTGAGTGGAGGCGACCAACTGATATAGTAAAGGAGAGTTCCATAGGTTCAAGACCTTGCCTATTTTCGGGCACTGTGAATTCTTCTGATGTTTGTCAGGTATAACTCATCCTTCTTCCATCAGTTTGCTTTCTTCTAGAATTTTTTCGATGATTGTACCTACCTCATGCAATTTAAATTTATCAGGGTCGATTAGGCGACTGCTGGTTTCTTAGTGCTGTTGCAGTTCTTACTGACGTTTCTCGAATATCTGAAGTTATAATCACACATGATTACAATGACGAGGGAATTTATACCATTCGTTTTTGTATTCAGGTATTCACCTGAAATCTTATTCTGAATACATTATCAAGTCATATAGCTTATTTGTTTAGATCTGTTTATTTTTTAAGGAAACTAAACACGGAAGTAAATATAAATTTTATTTCTATTTAAATACATTGAATTAAATATTCTATCTGGAAGCAAGGTAAACATTATTAGTTGTGACGTGAAGTCTGTTCTAGGTTTGAATTCAATTATTTGACCCTTTTTTTGGGATTAATGAGGACAATATACCGCCATCAGGTTTGCACTTAATGTTTCCTGTTTCTCTCGTCAATCTTCCTACCATTGTCAATGTTAAAACGTTGTCTACCCTTTATGATTTGCTTTGAGCAGAAGTACTATAGTGTTGACTTGATTAGAAGCTTCTAGCTATATTTTTTGTTTTACTGTGTACTGATAGAGAGAGGAGAATTCTGTAAGAACTGGAGAATTCTGTAAGAACTAGGTAAAACCATGCAGATGGCAGTCATATCAGCCATTATTCTTTTTTGTGATTCTTTCAATTTAATCAATTGTTGCAGATAGACGAATTTTTATTGACATACTTTCATTATAAGAGCATACCATTGTGATTGGATGACTCGTTTTTGCTGCTGATGCGGGCGCTGAAAAAGCCCCGACACGGGGCGCTAAAGATGCCAATCAGCTGAACCGGCTGGCCAATTTTCTCGCCGGTCCAGGGCACAAGGGTTGCTAGTTGTGTAGAAGGGGCGAGATTACCACCTCACTTATGCACTTCTCTACGTACGGAAAGCCTTTAATGGTTATTTTTTGGAGAGTTCCCATATTTCCTCTTGTGGGGGAGTTTCCTTTCCTACTTTCCTTTTTTCCTCCAATTGGAGTCTATATATTGTTGTTGTTTTCAGAGACATAGGGCAGTTTTGGTTTTGCAGATTCAGATTCTTGTGTGAAGTGTTCCCCTGTTCTAGGGCTGTATCCGAGGACGTGACAGTGCTCCGGTTGTATCCTATTCCAAGGTGGTGTTGTATCTTTCTTTTTACCCTCACCTAGCCCTTCTCCTTCCCTCTCCTCCACCTCCGGCCTCCCCATATTTCAGCCCAGCTCCTTGTCGCCCTTTCCTACAGCCTACCCTTGTTGACCATTTGCCCGACTTGCACCCTAACACCCTACCGCCCCTTCCGTGCTCCGTGCAGCCTACCTTCGCTGTCCAGCCCTCCAAACAACACCCCAGCCCACCTACTGGACCCCCAAACATCCCTTCCTGACCTATCTCTCCGCCATCAACCCTTCCCCATATCGTCACTACTTTGCCGACGCCAACCCTCTCTCGAGTCTCCTCTTTCTGGCCGTAGCAGGAGATTGGTCTGTTGTTGTTTTTCCCTTTTCATTGTGTCATGTTGTAACCCTATTTTTATATTAATAAAAGTTTGATTTGTTTTTCGATAAATCTCGACTAGTTTTGGTATCATTTCACATCAGATCTAACCCAACTCTAGTTCCATCCTAGGGTTTACTGGCATCCGCCCGCCCTAATCCACATCTACCATTTTTTTCCCTTCCCAACTCTAATCATGTGACCACGGATAGATACATCAGGCTCTACTCAGAAAGAGATTCAACGAGAAATTCATTGTATTGAACAGAGACAAGCCGAGTTGGATGACGAGAACCAAGAAGAGCTTACCCTCGATCATGATTGGGAGAGTCGAGGGGAAGACATGGATGAGGATCTGAATCCGTTCCACAAGGAAGATCACAGTGATGAGGAATATCAGCCACGCCGTTTTGGTATCCAATACCAAAGGAGGGCGAGAGAAGAAGCCACTTATGGGAGTCAGCCGAACTTTGACTTCAAGATGGACCTCTCAGAATTTGAGGGAGGCATGGTCCCCAATGAGTTTATCGAATAGCTACAATCAGTTGACCGAATTTTTGATTATAAAGATTTACCAGAGGACAAACGAGTTAAGCTAGCTGCCATTAAACTAACAAAGAATGTCTCATTATGGTGGGAAAATTTATAAAGGTAGAGTATAAGAGAAGGCAGCGAGAAGATAACTAAGTGGGAGAAAATGAAAGAAGCAATGCAGAAGAAATACCTCCCAACGTAGAATCGCCATGACATGTTTCTATTACTCCAAAACTTACAACAACATAATTTTTCAGTTGAGTTCATAGCCCAGTTCAAGCACTTACAGTTGAAGTGCGAGCTGACATAGCCAGTGGTGTATACGATAGCAGGATACCTCGGGGGTCTGAAGCTCGCCATTAGCAATGTGGTACAACTGCAACCATACTGGATGTTAGGGGACGTCTAGACGGTAACATTGAAGTTGGAGAGGCAGCAGAAGCAAATAAGACAACAATTGTCCTTCAGACCACTATTTTCAGCTAAGCAAGCACCTGCAACTTCTACTGCCGATAAGGTTATCTCAGAAGGAAATGACAAAATCAGTAGGGAACTGATAAGACATATCAGAGTGGGTAGAAGCTAGAGAAAGGAAGCTGCTCCTATATAGTGCCGACCAGGAAGTGTTTCAGGTTCCATGACTACGATCACATTGCCTCCAATTGCCCAACAAGCGGAGTCATCACACTCACAGATCAGGGCGCCGTCGAGGAGGTCGATCAGGTGTCAGAAGATTGTCCAGAAGAAGAGCTTTAGCTCCACAAAGATGAGAGAGAAGCATTAGTCGTTCAGCAAGTAATGCAGTCCGAGCCAGAACAAGACCAATCCTGATTAAGACATTATTTTTCTCATCAAGTGCACCGTCAAGGGCAGTGTGTGCAGCTTGATCATTGACAATGGGAGTTGTGAAAATTTTGTATCTACGCTCATGGTGAATATGTTGGGATTGGACATGTAGAAGCATCCCCAGTCATACCCCGTAGATCAGACGGTAAGCATGTCGTTTTGTTATCAGTTTAAAGTGTGAAAGGCGGAAGCTTTATGGAGGCAACACTAGTTCCCTGGACCACTTTCCTGCAGTCAGTTAGAGATGCCCCTTAGCACTAGCATTAATCCTTCTGAAAGGAAGTGAGGAGGAGAGGGAGGTACCGACATTACTGCAACCACTGTTGTAGGACTTCAGGGATGTTATGATCGACAGTTTGTCAAAGGAGTTGCCACCACTAAGGGACATCCTATTAGCCATACGCCTTATATCGGGGTCGGTTTTGCCAAACTGACCAACCTACAAATTGAGATATGCGGAGTACGAAGAGCTATAGTTACGGCTGCAGGATCTCATCACGGGGTGGTAGTCTGAGAAAGCACCAGTCCATATGTTATTCCTACCCTGATAGTGTCAAAAAAGGTCACATCGTGGCGGATCTGCGTCGACGTCCGGGCCATCAACAAGATTATTATCAAGTACCGATTTATCATACCCTGCTTGGATTATCTCTTAGACCTGTTACACGGAGCCACTATCTTTTCCAAGATCGACTTGCCTAGTGGGTATCACCAGATACGAATGAGGACAAGAGACAAGTGGAAGACCGCCTTCAAGATCTGGGATGGACTTTACAAGTGAACCGTACGTCATTCGACCTGTCAAACACAACCAATACTTTCATGAGATTGATGAACCCGATATTTCAGGCTCACATTAGAAAGTTTGTTGTGATCTACTTTGACGACATTTTAGTATACAACCGATCAATGGAGGATCACTTGCATCACCTAAAGGCAATATTCGAGGTACCGTGAGTTGAACAACTATATGCTCATCCTAAGAGATATCACTTCATGACAAGTCAGGTATGCTTTCTAGGTTACATTGTATCTAGTGCAAACATTCAAATGGACCTCGCAAAGATAGTGGCTATTATCATTTTGGCTGCTCCACAGTCGTTCACTGAGCTGAGATAATTTTTGGGACTCGCTTCATTCTATCAGAGATCATCATGAACTTCAATACTATCACTTCCCCTCTAACTAAACTTTTAAAAGGGAAAGAATTTGCTTGGACGGTAGCGGCACAGGATAGCTTTGACAAGGGTGACTCATGTGCCCATACTAGCATTACCAGACTTCAACCAATTTTTCGAGGTAGAATGTGATATCTCTGAGCGGGAATAGAAGCAGTATTGAGCTTAGGGTTGTAAACGAGCCGAGCTTGAGCGAGCTCAGGCTTGGCTCGTGTTCGGCTCGTTCGAAATAGTTCGTGTTCGAAATCGGCTCGTGAACAGTGTGTTCGTGTTCGGCTCGATTTAAATATTCGTGTTCGTGTTCGGCTCGTATTCGGCTTGAAATTGGCTCGTTAAACTAAAATTGAGAAAAATAGATGTAAAGTGTGAGATTCGAATCTGGATCAAATCTATACAAAAGAAGACACTAACCACATTGTCACATGAGGTGTTATGATTTAAACTTAGACATAAATATATATAATATATTATTATATAAATAATATATGTAATATATTATTATATAAAAAGTTATATAATTTTTTTTCGAGTCATTTCGAGCCGAACAC